GATCTGATTTAATCGAGTCCCTGGTGAAAGTCTAATGAAAGGCTGGTCATGAAATAACAATTATTATTTGATCATGATTTATTTATTTTGACTTTCTATTTACAGTTCCTTTCACAAAACATTGTATTTTCTTTTACATGCAACCCACTGGGCACACATTGGTTGATTCAATGTTGTTTCCATGCCATTTCCCCTCGTATCTTCCCTCATAGCTTGCATTGTCCTGGCTCAGTACATATGCAACTTACAGTCAGCCCTGGTAGTTTTTCAATATATTCTATTAGGCTCATGTCAGGCGTGTCCAAAGGAATGAATGGGTGGATGAATGGAGTCAGTGTGAATGTATGAGCTCCACAGCTGATGCTCCCTGCTCCCTCCATTAAAGAGTGTTTGGATTTCCACATTTCCTCCAAAGGCCGGACCACAACTTCATCGCCATAATACTAGCAACAGGTGTCTCCGCCATGAGAAGGGGCTGCTGGGGCTCTACTGTGCGTATCACGCTTATCTTATGCCATGTCGTGCTACATAGTCACAGCCCTGCCAAATCAATCGGACACACTGCAGGCCCATTGCTTCCCAATTGTCATAATATTGCCGGTCCTGATGTAGCAGGTCTCATATTTAGAAGATGAAGTGCTGTAATTAGAAACGAGTGGGGTTTCTTTTCTTCGTGATCATTACAATTTAAATGATCATTAGCTCAAACAAAAGAGCCATGTTATACCACCTAGGATTTGACCTATGACCCCTGAACCGTGTGTCATTTTCTAAGCACCCCAATAATGAGCCCAGGACCTACTTTCCTTCTGGTTTTATTGACCTCCTGAAGGAATCTGTGCCTGTTCTATGCTCTTGCGCTGCTGGGCCTTGTGTGGCTGTGTGGCTGGGACAGGTGTCACAATATCCCTCCTGAAACAGACACTCTCTGTTTCACATTTCACACTGGAACCCCCTAAAACAGTTGCTGTAGTCACATGGAGTGCAGGGGTTCACACCAACAGAAGACCACAGACTCAATGATGATCAATGATCATTCCTCATATACAACATGGAAGTCATGTCATGACAGGGGTTTGTCACCAATGACCTTCAGCTTCATTCGGTTTAAGGAGTCAGTTGTAAAATATGAAAATAGTTATATTAGCAGTTTGAGGAGGAGTTAACATTTTAATCGATGTGTAAGTATTTGAATGTTTTTGTAGAGCTCCTGAAATAGCTAGATAGTGCTAATAATACTTTTTATTCATAATGAATGTTTAATTGCTGTGACTAAAACATCAGACACACTGGACAGTAGGTTAACATTGCAAACACCTGAAAAAGCGTATCCTACTAATATATTCAGTCATCATTTTGCAGAATCCCTCCTACTCCACCCTCCTTCAGCTACTATGTAAAGTACATGTTTGCTTTCCTCCTTCATTCAGGCTTGCTCAGGCAATGCCTTTGTGTGCGACCCCTTTCATCCCCTCACCCTTACCCCTCCTGGCAGTAGCCTTGGGAGGACCCAGGCAGATTACCTATAGCCTATATGGAAGGCCAGGGCCAAGGATCCCTCTCCCTCAGGGGACCAAACAATGATTTTAGACTTGGTCTAGGCAGCTCCTGTGTTGAACACAACAAGAAATAAAAGCAGTCTGTGAAGTGCATCCCGCCTCCCCTCCTTTCCACCCCCCTCTCCACCACCTTCCATTAGATGTGTTGAATGTGCTGTTGTCTTGGGGAGTTAGCTCCTATTAGCTTGGTGTTTACTCTCACCCCCCGTTTCTTGTCTTAAAGCTATTTGTGTAGAAATAGAAACCATGTGAAGTTACTCTGACTAAAACCACCTCATTGTTTCTGAGCTGTTACATCAGAAATGGAGAGTTATTGCAAATGGTAATGTTATCTGACTGACAAGTGTGGTTGCGCTGAGTTCTGAGCGAGTATAATGCGCAGGAAAGGAAATAGATTTATCATGGTCAAAGAACTTTATGTTCCCTTTTCACGCAGTATCCCTCAACAATATCCCTGTCTGTCTTTACTGACCATTTCACTACCACCAGTGAATTCTCAAGTGAATTATTTAGCTCACTAAAAATCACATTATAAACTGGGTGGTTCGAGCCCTGAATTCTGATTGGCTGACAGCCATGGTATATCAGACCATATACCACCAGTATGACAAAACATTTATTTGTACTGTTCTAATTACGTTGGTAACCAGTTTATAATAGCAATAAGGCACCTCGGGGGTTTGTGGTATATGGCCAATATACCACGGCTAAGGGCTGTATCCAGGCACTCCGTGTTGCGTCGTGCTTAAGAACAGTCTTTAGCCGTGGTATATTGGCCATATACCACACCTCCTCGTGCCTTATTGCTTAATTATAGGCCTCTCACAAAATCCAGTGAGGACATTTGAATTTAATAAAATTGGTGAACTGTTAAAGATTTTAAATATTGATGAAGATTATGATGACTATGATACTAACAAAGATGATGAGTGTATGAATAAGTTGATTAAGTGCTGGAATAATCAGCCATTCTAAAAAGTACTTTGTTAGTAGACCTGAGATAATGCTAAGTAGACTGTAGACAAAACAGGAGGATAATGCCTCGATCAGACCGGCACTGTCATTGCATCAATGCTGCGTAATAAATTATGAAATCAAACTTTTTTCATTATGAAATCCCAAAATAATTGTAGATATGTGTGCAACAAAAGTTCAACGTTCACCTTTTGCTACTATTTCTGTCAAGTCTATGCATACAACTTGATGGATACATTGGTCCTCTGTAGCTCAGCTGGTAGAGCACGGCGCTTGTAATGCCAGGGTAGTGGGTTCGATCCCCGGGACCACCCATACACAAAAATGTATGCGCGCATGACTGTAAGTCGCTTTGGATAAAAGCGTCTGCTAAATGGCATATTATTATATTATTGGATAAATCGAACGTATGCACCACACAGAACGCACTGCAACTGCCTCTGTAACGCAATGCTGCAAGGCAAACGCAGCGTTCCATTGGAAATGAATGTATTTCTGGTGTACCAAAATGCAATGACGCCGCGGGTCTGAACGAGGCATAAAGTCAGCATGTGTTGCATGCATTCATTCCAGTGCTGTGACCAGAGTGTTACTTCCAACCGTGCAGTGATGCCGGGAGCCAGTTTTCATCTGAAATCAGAGCCGAGCTGTTAATTGTGTGTTAAGGAGGGCTGATGTGTAAGAGGCCTGGTTCTCCCTGTCACAGCACAGGGCTGGCAGAGCAGAGGGGGGGGGGGGGGTGGTTTTCCCCATGGTCATATTTCTGCCACAGCTAACAAGGTTAATTGGGTGCAAAGACGATCTCTAATCCAACTAGCCATCAAAGGGCTAGAATCATCTTTACCTTGGATTTCCTTTATCTGATTGATCTAGCATCAGACAATTTTTGTAGGATATGTTTAAAAAGGTTGGTGTCCCTTCAATTGTTGAACATTTTAAATAAATAATTAGGGTGGGAAAACCATTTGTCCACGCCCACAATGACCATGAAAGCTGAGAGAGTATTTGCATATGAATAGTCATTACCTGTCTCACAATAGACTAGAGCAGCATTTCTATAATGTTAGTGCCTTCATTCCAGTGCCATTATTGTTTGTTGTGAAATGATCTAAATGTGTGACCTCCTCCATCTCTCTGGCCAGAGCTGGTTCAAGGAACTTGTGCCTGAATCACCAAGCGTTTAAAGAGGACAGGAATACCAAACATTCCAGACAGCTTCCTAATATGTGGTCCTCTGTAGCTCAGCTGGTAGAGCACGGCGCTTGTAACGCCAAGGTAGTGGGTTCGATCCCCGGGACCACCCATACACAAAAATGTATGCACGCATGACTGTAAGTCGCTTTGGATAAAAGCGTCTGCTAAATGGCATATTATTATTATTATTAATAAAATCAAGGATGTGCCTGGCAATAACTGTCATTGAAAATGGATACTCATTTTCACTTTAAGTTAGAAAAAAATGTCTTCCTCCCAATATTTGATGAGAAACAGGTGGTTGTTGATTCTTATCATTCAAACTATATAATGCACTCCAACCCCAACACAAATTGTGACCAAACTGTTTGACCTCTGACCTTGGAATCTGACAGGCCACCTAGGGATTGTGGCACTGTACAGTGTGGGGTTGGAGCCCTGCATTCTTCTCCTTCATTTATTTGATCTGTTTACATAATTAATTAACACTAAAAAACATAATTATGTTACATTCCTTATATTGATATTTCAGAGTTTTATTGTACTCCTAGGTGAAATTTGGGTGAATCAATTTACTGTCCCAATTCATTACATTATACTGATAGTTGTCCAGGCTGCATGTCCTCCTGATATACACTGAGGGATTATCTTTAAAGCCTCCATTGCAAAGGACCTAAACTAGCCTTATTTATAGGCCTATACAACATACCACAGACCCATGAAGCTTGATGCTTCAGGTGTCCTATCCAGGGCCCATCAAACTGTAAAAGTATTCGAAAATGTACATTTTAAAAGGTTTAGGTTCGAAATTATTGACATCAAGTGCATGTTATTTACCAGAATTTGGACAAGGTACTTGGGCTACAAATTAAACTCTGGTTACGTTTTTTAACTCTCCATAACATGTGTGAAATGAACATATTGGTCTTTAATAAAGATTATATGCCGGTAACATGCAGGTGCATATCAAAGGAATTAATTACAAGTAACAGTTGATATCAGATGACATTAGACTACAGTCAACATTTGGGGTGTTATGAAAAAAAAAATGTATGCACTCACTAACTGTAAGTTGCTCTGGATAAGAGCGTCTGATAAATGACAAAAATGTAAAATGTACTAAGCTCGCCACTAAGTGGCCTATCTGGTAGAGCTCCATTGTACTTCATTTAGCATCACGCATCTCATGGCAGTAATGAAATGTTCATTGCAGACTTTGGACAAACTACACATGGTTGTGAAGTGCTTTTGCTCCCTCATTGGTCGGATGCAGGCTCGTCCAGAGACACGTCAAAACGACAGGCTGTGTAATGTCTTTACTTTTGCCGCCACGCGCTTCTGTCGCATTGACCGTGCGTAAAGACCGAAGGCAGGACGCGCAGCGCAATTGGGATAGAAACTCCGCTCTCCAACGTTCCAAGTTACTTTAACCTCTCCCCGTTTAGGAAATTACAGCCCTACAATCTCCAATGAAGATTTCGCTTATTCCGTCAAGTTACTATCCGTGAGAATTCGTTTTTTTCGCCATGAGCTGCTTGGATGTTATGTATCAAGTGTATGGTCCACCACCTCAGCCTTATTTTGCCGCAGCGTATAGCCCATATCATCACCAGGTACGTTATTGATGTGTTGTTTAAACTATTGGCAGATTTAGTTTAAGGGAAAGTTTAGTCAGACTTTGATGAAAAACTTTAATTGCACATTATGGCGAGTAGTTTGATCTATTCAGGCCTACTGTATTTTGGCATTGTCCACTCTCAAAATTCTTCTGCATGACATCCTTCAGTAGATTGTGGAACCAATAGTCCTCCTTACCAACAGTTACCTATTTAAGAGGAATTTATTAGCCTATTGACAATGCTTACTTTTGATTGATGATTCCTTAATTAATAATGATAGCCATTCCTCCTCGTATTGTTATTCAGAAGCCTATCTAATTTCCGTGATAATATTTTTATTTGATAACATATATATATATATATATATATATATATATATATATATATATATATATTAGTTGCTTAGGCTATAGCTCTCCCTCGGTCTTGTCCTGCACAATCGAATCACTCAGGCTAAGGCTACTGCATACTTTTCCGTTTAGGCTACTGAATGTTTATTTTATTGCTATTTCAATTAGGATATTTTGCAATGTGAAAGTTATGGGTAAATTAGGCCTATTCAAATATGTAGATTGAAAAGGCCAAGGCCTTTATTAACCAATCAAAACAAAATACTTATGGGTCATTAATAGAGTTTAGGCTTAAGCTATGTTTGCAACTTTTATTAACCGTTCATCAAGTACAATTATTATTATGTTATTGTTTTAATCTGTAGGCTGCAATTTAGGACTCTTTACATTCATAACAATTATTTTGTCTGGACGCGTCAATTTTTTTTCATTAAAATTGAATTTGTGCTCTGGTAACGATTTCGTTGGAGCATGTCATGTGATACATATCTGTAAATTAAGTTAATAATGCTTGTGCATGCACAAGAACCAGTAAGGCATATGGGCTATTCGGTTTCCAGACGTGTATTGGTGCTAAGGTGTGCCACTTTCTTAAAACCTCTCACAGTCAATATACAAATTCAGATCTTTGTTTGCACAGAGAGCTGGTTTTCATATTTCAAATAGTGCGAACGTCTTCTTTAAATGTATTATGCAGAGAGAGAAGGGAATACTGGGATTCACTTCAAAACTCTCCAATGCTCACATGTTGCTGCTACTCTGTTTATTTTCTATCCTGATTGCCTAGTCACCTTTACCCCTACCTACATGTACATATTACCTAAGTTACCTCAACTACCTCATACCCCTGCACATTGACTCGGTACCGGTAGCCTTCTCCTTGAATACAGTCTCGTTATTGTTGTTTTATTGTGTTACTATTTCCTTCAACAACAAAAAAATGTAATTGTTCTTGCTTTTTAACTCTGCAATGTTGGGAAAGGGCTCGTAAGTCTAAACCTGTTGTATTCGGCGCATGTGACAAATACAATTTGATTTGATTTGAATGTTCATAATTAACAAATTAACACGGGTTTAAATTGAATAGCTTTGTTCTTGAATCCAACCACTGCCTCCTCGTTGAGTAGGCCTATGAATGAGGAGAGGATAATCTTCTTTTTAAGTACCTACCATTTTGAATATAGCGTAAAAAGCGCTCAGATGCCACAATATAACACTTTGCCTTCACCGAAATGGCCGGCAGGTAGCCTGGCATTTAGATCGTTGTGCTAGTAATCGAAATGTCGCGTGTTCGAATCCCTGAGCCGACAAGTTAAAAAATCTGTTGATGTGCCCTTGAGCAAGGCACTTAACCCTAATTTCTCCAGGGTAGCCTCTGGTAATCCCTGGCCGTGACCCACCAAACTATTATGTGCAGGTGAAATTCAAGTAGATAATTGGTAACTTGATGCCTTGATAGGAATTCATATCAAATACATGGCAAGGCTAATAAATTCTGACGTTTTTATGGGATGTTTCAGAAATTGGCATTTTATTCCAAAATGCAAGAAGCGCAAGAGAGCATCAGCGGTGGCAGCTCGTTCTCAAACCTCCCTGGGCCGACGATAAAGGAGGAAGACTGCGCGCGTGAGAAAGATCACCCTCCCGAGGCGGAGTACCTGAACTCGCGATGCGTGCTCTTCACCTACTTCCACGGGGACATCAGCTCCGTGGTGGACGAGCACTTCAGCCGGGCCCTCAGCCAGCCAACCAGCTACGTCCCCGGGTCAGCCAGCAACAAGTCCGCACGAGGTAGGCCTACATCCACCTCATGGAGAGGTGCACTGTGCAGATCACAGAGCCACTCCAAACACCTGTTTCATTTCACCACAACGACTGTGTTTTTAGGCATATAGACGATAAAGGATGGCAAGTATGCCTAGGTCTTGCATGCATGTGAGTTTTTAGTTTTTTGTATATTATTGTGTTCACATCTTACCCTTACCCAAATAAACTTCCTTTTAAACTTTGGATTTTTGGAACAAATCAATTAATCACCTGTTATGCTCCCATAGTTTCAGTTTCAGTTTGCAGTCATTCACTCTCATTTGTGTTGGATCAAAATTGCAACGGAATCACAAAGTAAAACAAAATTGATGGTCATGATGAATTGCTGGAAATAAGGCAGTTGAAAATATGATAACATGGGGTTCAGTGGAATGTAGGGCTCAGACTTATTCACTATATTGTAGGGGAATTTTTAATGAGGGTTTGGTAGGCTATAATTTGTTCTGTTGCATATTACTCCCTTAATGAATTAATTTAAAATGTAATTATATGACCAATATTATATAGCCAACCATTCTCCAATTTTGATCAACCATCAGGAATAACTGACAACAACTATATTTATCCATGCATCTTTCCCTATCATGTTTTCCTTTATTTCATCCTTTCAATTTAATTGATAATTTAATGATCATGGTCGCTATTTAGCCACATCCTCAGAACAGGCTTATCGATCGTCACCCACAGATACATTCATAGTTTTTACCACTTAATTGATCTGTGATTGAGCATTTCAATGTGTCTGTGGATTCCCAGATGGATCATTCCCGATGAGCCAGAGGAGTTTCCCCCCATCCTTCTGGAACAGTGCGTACCAGCCCTCGTCCCTGAGCAGTGCCTTAGGATCCTCCTTCTCAGAGATACCCTTCCCTGGGGACTCCTACTCCTCTGCCTCCCTACACAGCCACCTCCACCAGGCCACCCCAGAGCCCTGGCACCACTCACACCACCACCACCACCCTTACTCACTCGGCGGGGCCATCGGCACCCAGGGCTCCCCCTACCCTCGACCCAGCATGCACGAGGTCTACGGCACGCACTTTGACCCCCGCTACAGTTCTCTGCTGGTGCCCTCTGTGCGGCCACATCGGCTCCCTCCATCCGCTGTCCCCGGGCCCAGCGCCTCGCCGTGTGACATTGGGAAGAGCGAGTCAGCCAGCTCAGCCTGGACCGGGGCGTTCACAGGGGCAGGGGCAGACATCAGCCAGAGCATCGGCCTCAATGTGGACGCAGGTAACAACAACAGCAATAACAACAACAGCACACAACATGCAGTGTTAACTCTTCACAAAGGACTAGCTGTTCCAAGTGTACTTCAGAATAGCCTATATGATTTCATTTTCCTCAAACATTCACAACTACTGGGGCCTCCCGAGTGGCGCAGCGGTCTAAGTCACTGCATCGCAGTGCTAGAGGTGTCACTAAAGACCCGGGTTCGACCCGGGCTGTGTCGCAGCCGGCCGCGACCAGGAGACCCATGAGGTGGCGCACAATTGGCCCAGCGTCGTCCGGGTTAGGGGAGGGTTTGGCCGGCCGGGATGTCCTTGTCCCATTGTGCTCTAGCGACTCCTTGTGGCGGGCCAGCCGCATGCACACTGATTTCGGTCGCCAGCTGTACAGTGTTTCCTCCGACACATTGGTGCGGCTGGCTTCCGGGTTAAGCGAGCAGTGTGGCTTGGCGGAGTCGTGTTTTTGAGGACGCATGGCTCTCGACCTTCGCCTCTCCGTACGGGAGTTGCAGCGATGGGACAAGACTGTGGATATCACGAAAAAGGTGTAAAAAGAAGAAAATATATATATATTATAACATTCACGACTACTATTGTGCGCACTACAATTCATTTAATGTAAAAGTTAAGAAACGGTGTGGCGCCTTACACCGGGGTTATGCTTACATTCATAACATTATGCAGGTTGTTGTTTGTGAAGGCCACTCTCCAACACTAAGAAAGACAATTAATTTGTGGGGTTAACAGGTTGAGTTCTTAGTCTCTTCTTTCTGCTGGGAGGCAATATGCTTTTTCACACTTTTCTGCTTCAGGGCTTCCTGCTTCTACATATAAGCCATTTGGTCTACCTCTTCCTAATCCTTCCCTCCCTTGTCTTTTCTCTATTTTGTTCTCTTTCCTGTCCTCTCAGGTCTGCAGCCCCAGGATAAGAGCAAGGACTTGTACTGGTTTTAAAGCTCTGCTGCCCTCCCAGGCCTGAGTTGGCCTCTGTGTTGTTCTGCACTGTATGATATTGACAGACTTTTTCTGTAACAGATTCTAATCTCACTTGCAGCTCGATGCTACACCCTCTGTGGCGGAAACATCCTCAGCTGAAATTACTCCATTGTGGATACTCTACTGGAAATGCAGTGGACAAGGGAGAGAATCTAAAACGGAGACTCTCCTACTTAAGAGAAAGGAGGGCAAAAACCATGCAGGACTTGCTTGCCAGAAATGCTCAGTGGTGTGACTGACAAATGTTATCTGGCCAAGACTGAACGCTTTCAACTCCTCCAAAGAGGAAACATATTAAAAAATAAAAATAGAGTGAAACTGGAACATAACAAATTAGATTTGACGAGAGCATACTCAAAGACTGGAGAAACACTATTTGCTATTGTGCTTTTATTTATCCATGAAAGGAGAGGAGCAAGAGAGAGGAGCATTCTCTAACATGACTGAAGTGAGCAGCGGCTATTTGAAGCCATTTGACTCTATGTTTCTCCCCAGCAGCTGTCAACGACAACTGTTTCAGAACTCAACGGACACACACACAATCATACTGTCACTGCACAGTGTTTGACCAGGGGCTCTGGACTTCATAAAAGGAGCATTTTGTCAAATCTGGACCCCGACCCACAGGGAACAACTGGTTTGACTGGTGATTTTGAGGTGCGGGGTGGACAGGGGGTAGCAGAAGTGGACACACACAACTTTGCTATGTATGTCTGTGTGCCATATCTGTGCAGTGCTACAGTATATGTGAGAATGTTGCATTAAATATTTGGATGTTTATGTACTTATTCCTCATTGTTTTTCAGTCATCCCAGGTATAAAGCAAAGTCAAACAGTCATTATCCGTGGTATATTGTATTGTGAACACATTAATATATTGCCTTTTAAAGTATTTTTTCTTGATACAGTTGTGATGTAATGTCAATGTGTTGTCTGCCTCGGCCTGTAACTATAAAGCAATGGCACAATGTGATTAAAACTCAACTATAGACTCTGTGCTCACACTCAACTGATTATTTAGATGAAAATGTACACAGTAGAAAAATGGGTGATCTATAGAAAATACAATTTCACAGACAGTCCATTTGAAAACTATTCTGTTTGATGACGTGAGTCAGTTCTGGTTAATTTCTTCAATTATATAATGAAGACAGCATAGATATAATTTAGCCATCAGCAAGCACAACTTAAAGGAACATTCCACCCAAAAACTATATTTTGGTATTTGTTTCATTAGTCCATTGTTGACATAGTCCCAAAATGTTTTGCTTGTCCGCAATCAAGTAACTTTCAAAATACATAAATCATCATATGATGCTTTTTGCATCATATGATGCTATGTTTTGCAAAATGCATCATACGAGGATGATTTCATTTTTACCCTCCACTAATGCATTATCAGTGTACTGGAGTTTTCATTCATCTTAAATCATTCTCTTGTAGATACTGAATGCCGATGCTTCAACTTGTCAATGTAAAGACATATTTCTAAAGGGCATTCAATACCGTACACCAGCAAAAGTATTTGTACAGAATAGTATTTGACCTTGTCCGGAAGAATAGACAGGGAGGAAGCAGCTATACACATTCAACTGAGATTTTCTTGAGAAGAGCTACTTTATTAAATAAAAATTTACTCACTATGATTGTGATATGTGGTTGTCCCACCTAGCTATCTTAAGATGAATGCACTAACTATAAGTCGCTCTGAATAAGAGCGTCTGCTAAATGACTAAAATGTTAAAATGTCACTATATTTAACACCATCTCTATTTTCTCCATGGACATACTTTTCTCCTTGAGGACATACAAAAGGCTTCATACGAACAGGCCACAATTAACACATAACTTAATGATCGGAGGGAGAAAAAGCAATGGAACGGTCATAAGAATCAGGGGGCTGAAAAGGAAATAGGGGCAAGAACAAAATAATTGTGACGCTGCCACCATGTGTTCCCTTTCTCAGATAGTATTTTTGGTTGTGTTTCAGTTTAGCACTGGACAGCTGTAGATTCATATCAGCTTCTGACAAAAGTGATGAATGACAAGAGAGGGGTGGAGGGTCTCTCCCTCCCCGGAGAACCTCTAACAAAGGAATATTTTCAGATACATTTTAGTTTTTTATAATCATGGGAGGGTTTTAAGCAGTTAATGGGATGAAATGTGCAATTGGCAGGTAAAATAGACTACATGCAGTGTTTGGGTCAATTAATTACTGCATCTAGGCTAAGTGGAAAATGATACGTTTTAAAATGATCAGTGTGTGTGTATTTTACCCCCTTTTTCGATCTTGTCTCATCGCTGCAACTCCCCACTGCGCTTCTTAACCCGGAAGCCAGCCGCACCAATGTATCAGAGGAATCACAGTTCTACTGACAACCGAGGTCAGCCTGCCCGCCACAGTGCGAAGAGCCAAGTAAAGCACCCCCCGGCCAAAACCTCCCCTAACCCGGACGACGCTGGGCCAGTTGTGCGCCGACCTACGGGACTCACAATCATGGCCGGTTGTGATACAGCCTGGGATCGAACCCAGGTCTGTAGTGACGCCTCTAGCACAGCGTTGCAGTGCCTTAGACCGCTGTGCCACTCGGGAGGCCATGTGTATGATCTTATAACATAATTGTTATTGGTAGCCTAACATCAGTGTGGGCTATTCAGCGACATCATGGGTAAAAACAATTGCTAGTTTAAATGGGATGTATAGTCTACTATCAAAAAAAGAGCATTGCATAATAGATTGGTGTGTAGGCAATAACAGACCAATGTTTTGTTTAAGTGTGCCACCCAGAACTGTGCATATGGAAAACGCGAGTCTTGTTTCCATGCCGTCGGCACCACGTGTCTGACTCAGACCTGTTGCAAAGCGCGCGAGCAGACTGGTCCTCAGAACATGCGACGGGATACTTGATAGCCTTTTGTGTCGCTATCAGGAATATTTGTGAGGTTAACACATAAGCTGAAAGCAGGAACTCAAAAATGATTGGTTGCTATAGAGATCGAGCGGAGCTGTCATTCACATTATCCTAAAAACACCTTTCATGGAGTGTGTGATCTGGCTCCAGTTGTCACTATGCGTGACCTTCAGCCTCTGTTGGAAAAAGAGCTACACCAGGTCAGTCAGGTCCAGCACAGCAGACAGTCTACCACCAGTACCGGTGCGTGGGTAATATCACTGAGGAAGCCAAGCCAGTAAAAAAGCCATATTACAACCTATATTGTGATATTTGTGTTGTTTGCTCTATAATACATTCGTTCATACGCCACCGTGATACACAATAAGGCAATGACAACAAAAAGACAACAGTCACACAGTGGTGGAATAAATTCAACTACACATTTGTTTGTTTGAGAGCAACTGTCACGCCCTGACTCAGGGGACTCTTATATGTTGAGTCAGGGTGTGTGTATTCTTTGTTTGTATATATTCTATGTTATAGTTCTATTATGTGTAGATCTATGTTGGCCGGTGTGGTTCCCAATCAGAAGCAGCTGTAGCTCGTTGTCTCTGATTGGGGATCATACTTAGGCAGCCTATTGGCACTAGTGGGTTGTGGGATCTTGTTCCGTGTAAGGTATGTTTTGTGTTCTACCTTGGACTTCACGTTTCGTTTCTTGTTTTGTCATGTTGTTTATTAAGTTAAAATAAACATGTACGCATATCACGCTGCGCCTTGGTCCGTCCCGTCCTTCAACGAACGTGACAGAAGATCCCACCAGACCTGGACCAAGCAGTGTGCCGAGGAGGAGCAGAGAGGATGGACTTGGCAGGAGATAAGAGAGGATCTGGCAAGAAAGATGGAGGCCCTGAAAGGGATCAGGGTGGAGAGGCAACCCCAATACATTTTTTGGGGGGGCACACGGTGTGGACAACGAGGCAGCAGGAGGCCGCGATAGGGCGGATCTGCTGGTTAGGAGAGGAGGCCACCAGATTACGGGGGCTATTGGTTCAGAGGGAGCAAGCAAGTGGTGCGTGTCGCCAGTCCGGTCCGGGCCCGTTCCTGCTCCCCGCACCAAGCCAGTGGTGCGCCTCGCCAGCCCAGCCTGTTCCTGCTCCTCGCACCAAGCCAGTGGTGCGCATCGCCAGCACGGCCCGGCCTGTTCCTGCTTCTCGTACCAAGCCAGTGGTGTGCGTCGCCAGCCCGGCCCGGCCTGTTCCTGCTCCTCGCACCAAGCCAGTGGTGCACGTCGCCAGCCCGGCCCGGCCTGTTCCTGCTCCTCGCACCAAGCCAGTGGTGCGCATCGCCAGCCCGGCCCGGCCTGTTCCTGCTCCTCGCACCAAGCCAGTGGTGCGCGTCGCCAGTCCGGCCCGGCCCGTTCCTGCCCCTCGCACCAAGCCAGTGGTGCGTGTTCCTAGTCAGGTCCGGCCCGTGCCTGCTCCTCGCACCAGACCAGTGGTTCATTTGTCCAGTCCGGCACGGCCCGTGCCCGTTCCACCGGTGCCTGGTCCGGCACCGGTCAGCTGCTCCACTCTGGAGCCAGAGCAGTCCGCTCCACCGGTGCCTGATCCAGCTCCGGTCAGCTGCTCCACTCCGGAGCCAGAGCAGTCCGCTCCACCGGTGCCTGATCCAGCTCCGGTCAACTGCGCCACTCCGGCGCCAGAGCAGTCCGCTCCACCGGGGTCCAGTCCAGCTCCGGTCAGCGGCTCCACTCCGGAGTCAGAGCAGTCCGCTCCACCGGTGCCTGATCCAGCTCCGGTCAGCGGCTCCACTCCGGAGCCAGAGCAGTCCGCTCCACCGGTGCCCAGTCCAGCTCCGGTCAGCGGCTCCAGACCATGACGTCAGCCCCTCTCCAGGTTTGGGGTCTCTCACACCAGGGTCCAGACAGGGCCTGGCGTATCGTGGGAGGAAGGAGAGGGGAAGTAGCGCGCCGAGGTCCTGACCAGACCAGGGGCGCAACAGGGAGGCGGAGAGTGAGAGGTTGTCACGCCCCAAGCCGGATCCGCCTCCGAGGCGGAATGCCCACCCGGCCCCTACCCTGTTATGTTTATGTAGTGCGGTCGGAGTCCGCACCTTTGGGGGGGGTACTGTCACGCCCTGACTCAGGGGACTCTTATATGTTGAGTCAGGGTGTGTGTATTCTTTGTTTGTATATATTCTATGTTGTAGTTCTATTATGTGTAGATCTATGTTGGCCGGTGTGGTTCCCAATCAGAGGCAGCTGTAGCTCGTTGTCTCTGATTGGGGATCATACTTAGGCAGCCTATTGGCACTAGTGGATTGTGGGATCTTGTTCCGTGTAAGGTATGTTTTGTGTTCTACCTTGGACTTCACGTTTCGTTTCGTTTGTTGTTTTGTCGTGTTGTTTATTAAGTTAAAATAAACATGTACGCATATCACGCTGCGCCTTGGTCCGTCCCGTCCTTCAACGAACGTGACAGCAACATCTGTCTGGTGAAGTCCACAAAGCATATTGCATGTAACAAACAGTTATATGACCTGCAGCATGGTCAAGCAAGTTAATGTTATCGACAGTTTACTAAAAAAACTACTGATTTAGAACCACTGAGTTACCGCAAGTCAACACAAAGACAACAGGAGCACTGCCTCTGCTATTCCAGCACCATTTAAACTTAAACATTTAAACATCATCAAATCAACAAGGCTATATATGCTTAGTTTAATACACTGAAAACAAACTTCAAGATACCAAAAACAATTTAGTCCAATTTAGTCCAAGGTGTGAAGCCAAATCGAAACTAGCCTCCCTTGGGGGGCATTTTGCTGCGCCAGGACAACCCACATTTGGGCTCAGTTCAACACTGATTGGCAATTTTTTATTT